GTCAAATTACACACCATTCTACACCATTGGACGAGAGAGACATGATGCTAGCAGAACTAATTGTTTTTAATGCCTATGTACCCACAACAATGACAACAATGCACCGCTGGGCTACGCTTCGCTTGCGTTCCAGGACCGTAGTGACGTCACAGGAAGGGACGCGGGCGGACCGCTGATGACCCGCCCGCTGTCAAAGGGCGGGCTGGGTTTGACGGGCGCACAATAGCGGCCGCGCGCGTCAGTTTCTGGAAGCGATAGTGGGGGCACGGACATTCACACGTGGGCCGGAAGGGTTGGACGCTTTAACCCTCTCGCAGCCCTCCCGCTGTTTCTGTTACTGAGAAGGGAAATAAGTGACGGTAATCACACAGCCTTTAAACCTTTCTGACGTTTCGTACGTGTTGTCAACAATGCCAGTCCGCTAGATGATTGCGCGAACACTAAGGTAGCCTGACTGTTAGCTTGAAACGCCGGGCTGCCAGGTAAACATAACGGTACGGTCCCATGACATTCTTCCCTCCACGTGTACGGTCTGGAGCCTTTACGCGTTAGATCGATGCGTGTTTTTATCGATACAGGACCTCCATCGATCTTGGAATTTGCGATCTGAATGGTGGGTTGGAGAAAGCTTAGTGGTTTTGAGCCCTGACTGCCATTTCGGAGTCGGAGCCACTAAAGTCACTAAAAATTTTATATTAGCCGTTTTCACGACGGGCATCTGGTGAATACACTTAATTTGACCAAATCTGTACCAAATCTCTTTTACAACAAATATATTTAAATTATGAATTCATTTAAGTGTTTTAGTCGATGATAATGTCTGATAGTGTGACAAAGAAGGCATATAAGTAATTAGCCACTAGCTATAGCTACGAAGAAACACACTGAACCTATAATTTGACCAAATCTGTACCATATCTGACCAAATGTGTACCAAATGGGGGGGGGGCCGGGGCGCGGGTTAAACGTAAATATAGGATTAGATGCCAGCTAAAACCATATATATGCTCATTTTTTGCATAAGGTGAATAGCATCCGAGAAAAACGCACGTGAAATTTCGCTAAATCGATTTAAGGCTGAGACAGACTCTTTCCGCATTCAAGAAATCGCGTGCGAGAGCCTATTCAAATGCATTAAAATTCTGCCCGCATCAATCGCATGCGGAGAAGCGTGCGATTGATGCGAGCGTGCTCCCAATAGGCTCTCGCATGCGATTTCCTGACTGCGGAAAGAGTCTGTTTAGTGTTTCAGGTTTAGACTTGTCATGGAAACGTAGTGAATTTCTCGAGACCATGCTGGGCGGGAATCGCGATTCGACGTACATATATCGGTTAGCATTATCTGCGTGTTTCCACTCTGTTTGAAGTTGTAAAGGCTCAGACATGTGAAATGTTGGTTCCATGCATTATAGTGGGCATCAAGGTCAAGTGAATGTCAGATCAAAGTCATTGACCTTTGATGACCTTGGTTCACTTTTGCGAGTGCTACATGTTTTTAGGGAAGTTTTTGAGGCTAATATCGAATTCATCACCCATCTGAACATTTACTTAGAAGTTATGGTACTTTTGTAACATGTTACGAAGCTGTCAGTGGTGGTTGATACCTACTATCAATACCCGACAGGACTTGTCCTGCTACATGTTTTTAGGGAAGTTTTTGAAGCTAATATCGAATTCATAACCCATCTGAACATTTACTTAGAAGTTATGGTGCTTTTGTAACATGTTACGAAGCTGTCAGTGGTGGTTGATACCTACTATCAATACCCGACAGGACTTGTCCACTGGTTGGTAGCCTGACCTGACCCGACCTGACCCTACCTGATCTAATGGCATGGGGGCATGATATGTGATCCAAAATTAACATGACATCGTGGTAAGCATCCCGGAAAAAACCTATCACAACCTCACTTTACGAAGTTCTAACAAGGTATGATATTCCCGACCTTTGGGTCATTGACCTGACCTGGAAGGTCAGCCAATGGCCTGGGACCTTAAAACTAGGTATCATCGGCTTCCTCTCGTCACGGGCAGCACGCCCGTTTCATCCGCGAAGCTCTAGCTCGATCAAGGGACAAACGGCAATGGTCCAACGGACCATATACGTTCGCGGCTGGTAAAACACCAATACGGGAGAGGATTAAGCATGACTTGTTGCGCATGGCGTAAAAAAAACCACGGCACGATTGTTACTCAGCTGGTGCACCAGTTTCTTAAACTGATGATCCCACTGGATCCCACTGAACCTCTTTGACGAGGAGCTGGACATCAGTGGGATTCTGAATAAGTGGATACAATTGGTGGGTATTTTAGTTATACTGTTAACGACTTAGCATTTTTTTTTATGAAACAAGTGAGAAAAGGTAGTTACGTCAAAAGAAAATTTTCCTAGAAACTGTACCAGGGTTTAAAAAATGTTGACTGTTCTAAGCGATAGATCTGTAAGAAACTGTCTTCTAAACTGGCTTCTAAAAACCGTCAACGTGCCTTTCTCCGAATTTTATTTTCTTAGTGCAACAACTAAGGTTTACATGCCCTTGGCGTAGCATTGTAAAAACAATTAAGCAAGCAATATGCATACTCGTAGGTTCGAAATACAAAATGTACCAAGTTATTACCAGATTGATCCTTTGGCATCTGAAAAGATTGCTACCGATTGACATCTCCAGTATTTGGTCTGCAACTCTTGCAGTTAGTAGCATTTGTCGAAACGTCGACTGACGTTTGGTTGTGGGGACGTTCATCACTGATTGGAACGAACAGTGATCGGTGACTCTTGTACCCACTTCATCGCCATGTTTTATTGACTCAGTGCCAGGAATAGCCTCTTTGACTCCTGGCATAGCTAGAGGATGGCCACTATGATAAAATTAAGCACGTTGGAATAATCATGGAACGGAAACACATATTGCAACCTCTTTCGTGTATTGGCCTCCTAACATTCCTAGGACTGCACAGGACGTTTAACATTGTCACACATGAGGTCGGGTAGGTAAAGACACATAACATGCATGTACGGGGTAAAATCGCTATCCTGACACACATACAAAAAATGGACCCGCCAATCGTCACACAAACGCTGCAGCGTTGCTCTGTCGGCCTCGCCTGTGCGACACATTTCACGAACAGAGCGGATAAGTCGCATGAACTGCCTCCTAACATTCCTAGGACAGCATATGACGTTTAACACTCTGCAGCATCAAACTATGTGGTGAATATTTGTATCTTTCAGCATCTTTCCGTAGCTGCATGTTCGCTTTTTCCACCAGCTGCTGATTGAAATGATGAAAAAATGCATCAGTGTCACACACGAGGTCGGGTAGGTGAAAACACATAATATGCATATACGGAGTAAAATCGCTATCCTGACACACAGACAAAAAATGGACCCGCCAATCGTCACACAAACGCTGCAGCGTTGCTCTGTCGGCCTCGCCTGTGCGACACATTTCACGAACAGAGCGGATAAGTCGCATGAACTGCCTCCCACATTCCTCAACTGGCAGTCCCATGTTAAGCTGGTCCAAGAGCAGTTCGCGGTCCTTCAGGTTTAGTCTCGTGGAAACAAGCATATTTTCTGTAATTTTGACCTTGCGCTTCAGAATGACTTCCATCTTGGTTTCAAGATCTGCCAAACGCCCTTCTTTGGCAAGCTGAACCTTAATTTTCAAAAACAAGCGATCGAAAACTCTCAGAATCAAGTGCATCTCATCAGCAATAACGCGACGGATAGGGATCTGCGTCAGCAAGGGCGGTCCCTTCATGCCTTGGCGGTAGGATGCCTTTTTCCTGGACATTTTGCTCTGACTGCCCAGAGCAGCCATGGTGTCAATCGAGCGCTCCTCTCCTCTTTCCAGATGTTTTTTGGTTCGATGAACGGTACAGTATGGACAGGGAAAGTCGCTCAAACCGCCTGCCAGGCCCAACACCATCCATATAAATTTCAGGTCGGCGCCGAGATAAAACTGAACGGGTACACCGTTGATGTCCTTAATAGCCTGCATCTCAGCATCAATCTGCCTCAGGGCAGCCACCAGGTCTGGGGTCTCGGCGTCCTCAGCTCCCTTGACGCAGGCTAAAACAGTGGCTGAGCGTTTGGCTGGAAGGGGACGGATAAGCTCAACAGTCAGGTTAACAAAGCCAACTTTCCGGCATTGAGTGCCATCTCCACTTATCTTGAACCAAAGTTTTCCGGGAGCGTTCTCTCCGGCTCCACGGGTTCCACCCAGTATACGCTTGCATGCTGTGAGCAAAGGTATCTGGGAGGAGTTTGCACTTCGATCGTGAAGATGCCCTTGACGTTCGGCGTCAGCCCGTAATTCTTTGTCTCGTTTGATCAATTTTGTGCGCCCGGGCATACCATGACAACGTAAATTGCCGTACTGATGAAATGATACGCCAGATTTGACGACATGACGTAAAACTTTTGTTGGGGATTCAGAATTGCTTGGCTTGGTCAAGCTAGCCTTTTTTAGACGCTTTCTCTCTCCTCTTTTGCCAACAGACTCTGACCTGACTTTAGTGGCGTTCGGTCGGTTCTGAAGCACGCGCTTCTCAGTTTTCAATTTTGCAACACGTTTCTGCAAATGGCGGTTTTCGATCAGCACGTTGTTCCAAAAGTGTACTACGTTACTCACACTCCACGAGAAATCAGGGGTATTTTCCACCATTTGAGAACGTTTCCAGCCACCGCACTTTTTCCACGACCACAAACGTTTTCGCCGATAAGCAGAAAGTGATTCGATCTCCGTCTTTGTCGGCTTCAGTTTTACATTATGCTGTTTTTCTATCATGCTAACTAGTTCATCACAGTTTTTTGAGACTACATCATGAAATGATATATTGAAATGCATGGTGGCTTCTAATATGTATACCTAACAATGGCCAGTTACAATGTCACGGGTATGTACATATATGCAAATCACACGACATGCACAAACACTTAATTCAACGCAAAACATCCAGAAAACTACTGCGCCAACATAACAATTTTTGACCAACCATTTACCTAAAATCGCCTCACACAACTCCAACGAAAACTCCCCGTTCAACCTGTCTCAGATGCTCCACGAACACATTTCTCTCTGGTGAACCTGACTCGCAGTTTCATTAGCTGTCCCCACACACGGGGTTTCACCTGGAATGTGCCATGGGCAACACGATTGTAATCTTTCTGGTTTATGTGCTGCTCGAACCAGCCTGTACCAAGATAGGGAACGAGACGTTCCTCGTCAGATTTGTGCCAGCCGTACTTTTCCTTTTTCATGCGCCGCATGAGGCCATCGATGCAGGAAGCATGGAAGAAGACCACCTCGAACTGAACATTGAATTGCTCCTCTTTGAAACTTCTTAACTTCTCTCGAATAATCTGCTGAAGTTGCCGGCGATGGAAGTCGCGGCAGTGGTGATTGCAGACATCGGTGCCCGCAGCTATTGCCTGAGGCACGAACCCTGGCGAAATGAAACAATGACGGTCATTAGATGATAGTTATAAGTCAAAATATCAACCGTGTAAATCCGTAAATGCAGCTTGACGTTGGTGGATCAATAGCTTTTGACCAAGGTATTTATAGCCCACTGACGGACATAAATCGTTAACACGCAATAAGCCAATATTCAGATGTAATACAATTCGCTGTTATACATGCAATTGCATATTTATTTTCATGCCTTGATGCACGCTGAAATACATGATTTACATTACACTACATGATTTTCAGTAGCATTACTGTAAAATTATTCGTTGATTAGTTTCTTGATGGAACCAAGCGTGCATTCATAGAGTTCAGAAACATGTTCATTAGCATTTTCTTCTTGCGATTCAAGGGCAATGTCATGTATGAAGCAAGAGTACATAAGTATTTGGCAAATGTGTTAACGAATTCCGCACCCAGTCGTGTATTTTACCCATCGATGCGAGAACCACCATGTGTTTGAAAATGCTATTGAAAATGTTGGTATTTTGAATTGTCCAGCGCATAGTTTGTGAACATGCAATTCATGTGTCCAAAAATGAAATTTTAGACTTATTGTAGTTAAACAAAACAATAGGATAAATCGTTATTCAAAAGAGTTAGCGAGAAGTCACACTTTTGCAATAAACAGTAAAGACATAAGGTGCACGACATACCTACTAACAGCCCTCGTCCTACTGCGTGGTGGGTGTTTTTATTCGACAAAACTGAGTATATCTCGAGGGCTATGTTATCAGCCAATCGAAAATATGTAATATCAGAGACGAGCGATGTTCCACTCTTTCGATTGGGTCCGTCACTAAACAAATGGCACGTCAAGTGTGGCAACAATAAGCAAGTTTGTTTTGGGAGCAAATATAAACTTAAGTGTATTGTTGTCAATCTGGTGGAAAATATATGCAATGATGGGTCCAGTCCATGGTGTGGCGCTGTACGCGCCTTGGTATTATGATTTCCGAGTGACCGGTAGGTCATAGCCTTTGAGATAATTTTGGTTTTGTCCAAGGCAATCAATATGTTTTGTCGAAAAAAACTCCGAACATGCGCATGAGACGAGGGATGTACATATTACTGTCAATTAATAATTAATTATCTTCACGAATTATGCCTCCTTCGATGATTAAAATTCATGTCAATAACAAAATTCACCAATTACTTCAAATAGTTAGCAGATGCACTTTCCACTGGTACTTACGTTGACTGGATGCTCCGTAGAACTTGCGCACTTCCATGGACGGTTGAAAGATATCGGATGAGCCGTTTGCTGTCCTTAGCTCATATCCATTCGTTTACCACTAGAAACACGTTAATTTACAACTTCATTTACCTCTCAGCGTCCACCTTGAAATGGAAAGGTAGTAATAGTTCCCGTGTCATCGGCCCAGAGGCTACCCCGGAGGAGATGACGTCACAGAGGTACCCGCCATGATTGGCTCCTGATGACGGTGGGCGGTCCGGTCCCCCCATTCCCAGAAACGACAAGCGAACCAAGATGTTATTATGAAACTGATCCTCGCAAAATGACATAGCTGAACTGATAGTGCACGATGGGGCGGTGGGAGCCAACTATGCAATTCCTAAATGCCTTTGTATGCGGGGGACGGGGGTTCAGCTACGTTTTCGGAATGGGGGTCCGCCAAAAAATGCACATCCTAATAGGACATAAAGCCGTCATATGTAATTAATGCATACTTTGCGGTGAGTTCACTGGGGATTCGAAATCATCGAATTTCGGAGAGCCTGTACATTATTGACACGAGCGTGTTGTAATGAAATTGAGCGAGCGTTACAAGATTACGTCTGTTTATTTAACCCGCGCCGGGCCGGGGGGCGAGGTGTTTGAACACCCCTGCGGTTTTTCGCAGATATCTCAAAAAGGGCGGCGCTCGTTTTTGGCACATCTGTTCATTCATCTTTTCCACACATGTTGTGAAAATTTCAGACCCAGGGCTCTCAGGATCGGTCACCAGGTCAGGTCAAGTGACCTCACCTCAGAAAAAGTTTCAATCCTCGTCATAGCTACAGCGACTGAACGATCGCCTTGAAACTTTCAGCGATTGATAAGAGTAAAAGTATGTACAGAATGTATATCTCGGAATTTCGATATCTGTGACCTAAGGTCAGGTCAATTTTGCGACCTCTCCATTATAAGTCAATGGGAGAAAATTGAAATGTGCCTCTTTTGGACGAATGATGTTCAAAACCCTCACAAACATCGGTTCATAGGTAAACATGACACACTGAATCGGAAAAATGCACTTAGTTGTGACCCCTCTGTGTGCCCCTGAGGTCATCTCCGGTCATAAACGGTCACCAGCAGTTTTTTGGCTATAACTTTTGATAAAGACGTGCTAGAGCGATAAAAACACGTCAGATGTATTCAGCTCGACGATACGGATCGGCTGATATGCAACATGACCCTTTCCGGTCAGGTCATGACCTTGACCTGAGGTCAAATTTTCAAAATAACCTTTCAAGGTCAACAAATAGTAAATTCAACGCGTCTCGACGAGAGAAACACGATGCTGCGGCTCTCTCGAGTCAATTGCTATTGGCGAAAAACCATTTTCGTGAAAACTGCTATTTTTACAGTTTTTGCCCTCTGGAGGTTAAACCGTTGACCTGAGGTCAAATCTGAGAACATTACCCAGAACGGTCTGTGAAAGGGCTATCGAATGCGCTTTCCCGCGGCGCTGTAGCTCTATTGGTTCCCGAGTTAGCCGTTGGCAGTTTCCAAAATTGTTAAAATGGACTACATTTGACCTTTGTTGACCTCTGGGCTCTGGGCCTCTGGCGACCTGACCTTTGACCTGATTAAAAAAATGACTGAAGTGTTTTCGTCCTTATTTTTGACGCTCTTTCGAATGCCGCTTACCGCGTGTCGCTACGTGGCCCAGGAGCTGAGTTAGACGGGGGGGTGGTGTTCAGACACCCCCTCCCCCCGGCCCGGCGTGGAAGTCGCGGAGCACCGGCCCGGCGCGGGTGAACGATGGCGGATCACTTCAAGCGCACAAATGAATAAGTCACAAGATGAGGGGTAGGATTGAACAGAACGTCAAACAGTAAAATCAAGAGTAAGCTGATATTTTTGGCTGACTAGTGTTAAAGGTATTGATGGTTCACGTGCGCTTTTCACTAAATGGCGGAACACAGCGCTTAAGCGTGCAAAACGTGTCTCCGCACTTCCCATTGGAATGCAGGACATATTTTCTGCTTCCAACACGCAGCGCATTAAGCCGCGTGTTGAGATTCAATTTGGTTCATTATATTTCTTAACAGTTATCAGTTTGGGTTACACAGTTGCTAATATGCCTGTTTTTTTTTCTTCAAATGATCAGAGGTTTTAATGCTGAATAAACTATTTGAAGAGATTTCTTCGGTGCAGAGTTGGTCAAGTTTGATGAGTTCGCCAGGTAGCCCATCGTGAAAACGGCTATTACACGCATTTCCCATTTTTGAAAACGGCCAAAACCAGAATAACGTTGCTTGTATGCATGTATTGAAAAACCGTACAAAACGCTCCCTTAACCCTCGCCGGACCTATTGGTTTTCTACATACGCGCCGGCCGAGGGGGGGGGGCGGGTACGACCCCCCCCTCGCCGTTTCGCCCCTGGTGGAGCTAGCGCGTCGCGGAAAAAACGAGCGTGTGCGCCGTTACGAGACGCAGAGATTGGTACCCGATTTTAAGGTCCTAGGTCAACCGGTGACCTCTGAGGTCAGGTCAAGTGCCCCAAGGTACGGTTCAGTTTTTGGTGAATAACTTCGCAAAAAACGGCCGCAGAGCGCCGATTTTGGCAGCATCGTGTTCGTCTCGCTCAGGCGCGTCGAATGATATACTTTTTGTCCGGGTCAGGTCAACTTGGGGTGTTGACCTCAGGTCAAGGTCAGGTCAGCACCCCCAGGTCACGAAGTTGGTCGAAAGGGGTCATGTCGCATATCATTCGATTCGGCAGGTCTTCCTGAGTCCATTGGTGGCTTTCCCGACTCGCTAGCTCAATTTGATCAATAGTTATTGACGAAAAACTAATATGACCTTGATGACGTCATAAATGACGTCACGCAAGGTCAACATTGCAAAAGTGACGCATCTAACCTTGCAAGGAGTGCATAAAATCACGATTCTGTGTGCTTGAGATAGTTGGAGATCGTTCCCGGCGCCAAAATAGCAGTTCTCATTTTTCCCCATTGACTTATAATGGTGAGGTCACGAAAATGACCTGACCTCATATGACCTTTAGGAAAAATCCGAGATATACAAGTTGTGGGACTCATAATGGATACTAGATCCTGCAAGTTTCATTTCCCTGTAACATCTCCTCTGGCAGTGAGGGCGTTGCGAAGTTGCGACATCTGAAGACCGTGCAGAGGTTCACTTATGACGTCATAGGTCAGTGACCTGACCTGACCCAAAAATGCGGTTGGTGTCAAAAGATGCGGCTTGGATCAAAGGTCAGGTATGCCAAGTTTCAGCTCTCTATCGCCAGCGTGTTCGGAGCTATCGCGAAAAAACCCTATGGGGGGGGCGGCACCCGCCCCCCCCCTCGGCCGGCGAGGGTTAACCCTCGACGGACCTATTGGTTTTCTACATACGCCCGGACGGAAGGGAAAAGGGGTACGACTTTTACGAGCCCCTCGCAGTTTCGCGCCTAATGAAGCTAAAGCCTCACTGAAAAAAATGAGCATGTGCGCCATTACGAGAGGCAGCGATTGGTACCCGATTGAAGGGCTCTGGTCAACTGGTAACCTCTGAGGTCAGGTTAAGTGGCAGCAGGAACGGGCTCAATTTTTGGTAACTAACCTCGGCCAAAAATGGTCGCAGAGCCGCGAGTTTGGCATCGTCGTGTTTTTTTCCAGCTCAGGCGCGTCGAATAATATACTTTTATTCCGCTAAGTTTTTTTTTTACTTTTGTACTTTTGTTCTTGATGTGTTAACCTCTGGTCAAGGTCACTTCAGAGTTCAGAGCCGCAAAGGTCACGAAGTTGGTCGAAAGTGGTCATTTAGCATATTATCCGGTTCATCAGGTCTTGTCGAGTCAAATGGTGGCTCTACCGACCCGCTAGCCCAATTTGTTCGGGAGTTATTTGATAAAAAACTCTTATGCCCCTAGTTACGTCATAAGTAACGTCACGCAAGGTCAGCAATGAAAATGAAGCATCGGACCTTGCAATGAGTGGATGAAATCACGATTTCGCGTGCTCGAGCTAGTTTTAGATCATGCCCGGCGCCAAAGTAACAGTTTCCATATTTCCCCGTAGCGGTGAGATCACGTGACCGATCTGACCTCATGTGACCTAAGGTGTCATAGCCAGGTCAGTGAATTTACCTGTCCTGAAAATGCGGCTGGTGTCACAAGACCTGGCTTGAATCCAAGGTCAGGTATGCCAAGTTTCAGCTCTCTACATATATCCGAAGTGTTTTGAGCTATCGAGAAAAAAAGCATGGGAGCTAGCTCGACTGGCGGGGTTTGAGGAAAAACGGTGTGTCACCGCTTAACTATATACTTTACCATGCGCTGTTTAGTATTTTGTTACCTTATCTTTTGACTGAACAAAATAATAAATGAAGCACTGGGTTGTTGCATTGCGGCATTCCGGCAGTTGCAAGACCCCTGCAAACATTATGTCTTGCATTACCTACGGGTAGGTGGATAAGACTCACTTTGGTTGTCACCTAGTTATGAGCTTCGTTTGCATCGAACAAATGCATGTATTGTCCCATTATCTGCGGTACCATATTATTAACGGAGGCAGGCACGTTTAGTATTTTGATTAGATAAAAAAAAAATCAGGGTAGGTGTAAAATTAATTAACTCGAGGGTACTGAAAGTTTCGTCGCGATCGTCCGCTTTTTACGCGAGTCATTCGCGAAAAACCGAGGGGAGGGGGTACCCCCCTACGCGGGCGAGGGTTAATACAGGTTTCGAGCTCCTTCGAGCCGCCAACCATTCTAGACTTCTGACTGCTTCAGGATCGGCGATTCACGAAGCATAAAGAGGCTAGACTTCCGCGCACAGGTCTGCAATGAGCAGTGATCACCGACGTCAGCAGAGCCCATTTCCCTGGTGCAATTAGCGGTGAGCCCCAGTGAGATGCAGGGTTTATTCTTGTTCCACGATTATTTGCCTATATCAAAATCAAAACGTCTGTACGTATGTATGTATGTATGTACATATGTATGTATGTATGTAATGCGTCAGTTCCCTTTGGCGGGCTGTTGCGAGGTGACGGTGAGGACTGCGGGGTTGAAACTTTGGCGCCGAGTCGGACGCGTGCAACCATTTGTCGTATTAAATTTTCGAGGGGGTGCGCGCGACGGTTTACACGTGGCGGGCGCATCTTTGTCGCATTTTGGGCCGCGGCCGGAGCCGATCAGATGGCACGCGCTACAGGCTCAGTTTCTTCGCTTGC